CCTATTAAAATGAAGAGGGCTGGACACCCACAGCTTTGAGCGCTCCAGATTATGGCTTTAGGGACAAAGCTTTTCAGGAATAAGCACTCCCAGCCGCCCAGAGTCCCCAGCATGACCCCAAACTGCCAGTGGGGGCTCACAGTAAATAACAGCAGCTCTGGGTAAGCGTGCTGCCAGTCTCCAGCTGCTTGCTAAGCTGCTCCAAGCACCGGGAAATAGAGGCTGGATTATCAGAACGCATCTCCACCCGGGATGGAGAGGATGGTCGGTGCCTGTTCTGTGCCACACTTGCAGTCAGGAGCTGTGAGGGGCAGTGCCACGAGCTGAGCTAACACAGCAGCAGCTCCCAGTCTTCCCAGTGCTTGGGGGCACTGGTGGATCGGGAGCGGAGCCAGGGGGGGAAACTGCTCCTGGCACCTCGCAGGCTTTCACGGTGAATAGCACATGTACAACCTGCTGTGGCAGAGCTAAGATGACAGTTGATTAAACCAGCCCCTGCAGTGGCAGTGCCAGCTCTGGGGCTGCTTTTGATTGTCCCCCTCCCCACCTCTCTATCCCCACTCAATGCATGTGCTGGAGTCGCCCAACATGAGATGCTCCAGCTCAGGGCTGGGCTGGGCAGGGCTTGGAGAGCGACCTGGGACGGTGGGGCGGGACGAGCCGAGCTCCAAGACCCCTTCCCACCCCTCCCTGGGACCCCCGTGGGTCGGGGGCACGCACTTTTCTCGCAGACAGCCCCTCCCTTGCCCGCGGGGCAGCTGCAGGTGAAGTCCTCGCCGTCGTCCTCGCAGGTGCCCCCGTGCAGGCAGGGGTGGGAGTCACAGGGCCGGGGGGGTCTCCTGGTGGCGGGGGGTTGGCGGGTGGGCTTCCTGCGGGTGCTGGCGGCCGGGGGGAGGGTGGAGCTGGGCCTGCGGGTGCTCCCGGCCCTGCCGCGGGCCGTGGTGACGGCAGCGGCCGTGGTGGCCCTGCGGGTGGTGGCGGTCGCCGGGGCCATGGTGGTGGCCGTGGTGGTGGTGACGGTGGTGGTGAAGAGCCTGGGGATCCAGTCTGGAAGAGCAAAGAGGGCGGGTGGAGGTCGGTGGCGTCGCAGCCCACTCTGGGGCGGGGGCAGCCACGCTCCCGGTGTGCCACGTGCCTGACTTCCCTGGAAAATCACTGCCCTGGCTTTATCGGGATGGACGAGGCCTGGCCACCACCTCAGGAGCACCAGGACAGGCTCCCTTTCCATCTGCCACATGCCATGAAAAAGTGGGGCGATTCTACCCCCTTATGGTTCTCCTGAGTGAAAAACACGTCTGGGCACAGGGGTTTTACTCAGAGCCCTGGCAGAAGTTGCCCAGAGAAGCTGTGGGAGTGTTCAAGGCCAGGTTGGACAAGCCTTGGGGTTGGGGGACCACCATGGCAGGGGGAGAGTGGAATGAGATGAGCTTCGAGATCCCTTCCAGAACATTCCATGATGCTGTACCACCCCTTGCACCCTGGCACCGCCTGGGGCAGCTTCTGATGGGTTACTGCTACAGATGAAAAGCCCTGGCAAGGCCAGAAGAGCCACCCTGCCCACCTGAAAGCCTGGCCACAGACAGAGGGGACTCACCGAAATCCATGAATTTGACATGCTCCTGCTGGGGCTTCTTCACCAGGATGGTCCTCTTCTTGGAAGCTTTGATCTGCTTCAGCAGGGCCGCTTGGATATCGGCTGCCGTGTAGGACGTGGCTGCTCACAGCCAGGAGGAGGAAGGAGAAGAGGGAGAGTGAAGATAGGAGCCCCAGCCAGCAGCTTCAATCCCACTGGGAATGCCTGCTGCCTCCCCAGGAGGGCGGGGGTGCCACAGGGAATGCCCCCACCTGGGTCAAAGTGGGACTCCACGAAGACACGGACAGCGCTGCTCTGCCCCAGGTCCCGCACACGGATGCTCTTGAAGTCCTTCTTGACGTCAGAGCTGCGGAAAAGCTCATCCAGCTGGTCGGTGGGAACAAAAGGGGAAAAGAGAACCACCTGGTTAATGGGGAGATGTTGGGGAGTGGATGCTTTCGGGGAAAGATCTTGAGTCTCAGACGGTCTCCTTGGTTTCAGCCCACAGGGGTTTGCATCCAACCCCCACAGACACGGAGAGGACAGGGCTCTGCTGTGCTGGGTGACAATTCCAGATGGTCCCCAGTCTTTAAGGTAAGGACAGGATCCCTAAATAATGTGGGACACCCCGTGGTACCTGTGAGGAGGAGCGGAGCAGAGCCAGAGCAGAGACACCTTGCAGCTCATCCAGGGATTTTCTATTGTGTGGCATCTAAGTCTTCCTGATCTCTTCTAAAGCTGTGTAAACCTGCTTAGGCACTTTGGAAAAATCCCATAAAGCCCTATTCTGCATCTTTAAGTACCTGCCTGCCTTTTAAAACTTGGCTCTTGGCTACTGCAGGATTTGTCTGAAGTCACCTGAAGGAGACAGTGGCAGTGCAAGGCTCACAGCAAGTCAGGGCTGTAACACCCCTGCCAGCTGTCTGTCCAGGCTGCTCTGTCCCTCAGTTCCTTCCCCTGAGCTTCCAGGCAAAGACAGAAGACAGTAATTAACTGATTAATGGTCCCATGGCACAGTCTCCCCCTTTAAATTTGGAACAGTGAGCAGAGGGGTGAAGGAGCACGTCACATCCCTGGGCATTTGCAGGCAGGTTGCAACACAGGGAACAGGTCTCTGCAGCACGAGCTCTCAGCCCAGCCACAGATGCCTTTTGTGCCGTGGTTTCATGTTCCCAGCTTGGGAAAACAGAAACCAGCACAGCCCCTTAACGGATGAACCGGTGAATGGAGCTTTTGTGTGCACATTCCCATCCTGGGCTGTACTGGGAAACACTGGTATTGTGCTGCAGAGCTGCAGGGAGCCATATGGTCCATGTGCCAGGCCACACATCTGCTGGTGTGACTGCACTGAGGGCTTGCCAGCTCCTGCGTGCAGCTTGGAACCAGCCCTAAACATGTTCATGTCCTTGCAGAGGTGGTTTGAGTTTGCTGTGCCGCCCTGCAGGCTCCAGCACCGCCTCAGCACCCCCAAATGTACGCACTGCCACCCAAAATCCACCTACTCCTGCAGCTGGCAATGCAGGGGGTTCTCCTTAGGGGTGGGAAGCTGGATCTACACAGGCAGCTTCTTCCCAAGCTGTGTGGCTGAACCAGAGGGTGAAGGGTTTCTGGATGTATTTTTGCCTCAGGGCTTTTCCTGGAGATAAGGACACTTTGGGAAATCCAAGGGGTTGAGGCAGAACCTCTGATCTCGATGGTCCCACCAAGCTGAAGAAGGATTTCTGACCCAGCACAAAGGGAGGTTGTGGCCAGGTGGGGGTTGGTCTCTTCCCCCAGGTAACAGGATGAAAGGAAACAGCCTCAAGTTGCATCAGAGGAGGTTTTAGATGGGATATTAGGAAAAAATTTCTTCACCAAGAGGGCTGTCAAGCACTGGAACATGGTGCCCAGGGCAGGGTGGAGTAACCATCCCTGGAAGTGTTCAAAACACACGTGGATGTGGCACCTGGGGACACGGTTTGGTGGTGAATGCAGTGCTGGCTTAATGATGGACTTGATGATCTTGGAGGGCTTTTCCAGCCTTGATTCTGGGACTCAGTGACTCCAGGGTGTGGCAGGGTCTCCCTCTTTCTGCCAAGGACAGAAAATGCCTGCCCAGCCCCCCGTCAGGAGCCCAGAACTCACCGCGCTCTCAATGCTCCGGGCCGTCTCCCCGAAGAGCTCCGACTTGGGGTCAGCCATCTCCGGGGTGTAGAACAGCTCCTGGCCTTCCACCTCCTCCAGGATGAGGACCCCTTGGAAGACTTTAGTAGCTGTGGCAGGGAGGGAACACAAGACAAACCCCTTTAGTTTGGGTGGGTGTAGGGGGGTAAGGCGTGAGGCCGAGAGCACCGGAGTCCCTAGGGAAGGGGGATGGCAGTGTGTGGGTAGTGCCAGTGCTGGGGTTAGTCTGGATGGGTCTGGGAGAGCCATGGAGGATTAGTGTCACGGGGTGCTGGAGCAGATGGCAAAGACCAGGCTGGAGATGGTAGCTTTTACCATACGGGTTCCTCTGAGCTCCGGCCCGGAGAGCAGCCCCCCTGCACCGGCTGAGTGACAAGAGAGACACGTTAGCAGGACAGTCAACGTTCCAAGAGCCAGACACGGGCATGCACAGGGCACAGGAGGGAGGAACCTGGGCTCTGAACAAGGAGAAGACCTTGTGCTGGGAGAAGGAAGGACAGAACCTTCCAGGCCAGCCCTGCCAAACCCAAGCGAAACCACGACAGTTCCCTTGCGGGGGGGGGCAGTGGGATGCAGAGGGTAGAGAGATCCCACTGTGGGTAACCATGTGGGAGCTTCCCTGCAGCTGCTGGAGGGTTGAAAGGGGAATGTGGTGCCCAGAGAAAATGGGGATGTCCTGCTGGAAACCACAAGGACACTGGGAAAGACCTCAGTGAGGAAATATCTGGGACACGGCCCCAGAGCACCAATTTTTCAGGGTAAGGAGGATGGACATTTTCTGACAGAGCAGAGGTGGGGCTGCGCTTCCTCAACACGTGGGAAGGGATTGTGAGTGGGAAGAGAGATTCCAGCTGGGTCAGGGGAGCAGAGCACACCCCTGGGAACCGCTGTGAGAGTTGAGCAGCTCAGAGCCCCCAGGATGCCCAGCAGGGACCCTGGGGGTACAGATGCTCTCCCCCACTGCCCCAGCACCAAACTGGTCCTGGCCCCAGCTCCCTTTACAGCCACTAACACAGGGAATCCAGGCAATTCCCTCCTCCACCCTCGTGCCAGTGGTGAGCTTGGCAGAAGCCTGGGCAAAGCACTGGTCGAATTTTTAAGGCTGTGGCAGTCAAGGAGGAAAGAGGGAAGAGAACAGCAGTGCTCTGCTCCCCACCAGTGCCCACCTGAGCACCAGGGCTGGCTGCTGGGGGCTGTGGCAGGTGGGCACCGTGTCTGCCAGCTGCTGTGGCTCAGCATATCCCCGTGGACACCCCTTCAAGGGACACGCCAGCCCCCAGACTGGGCACAGGACTGTCCTTGCTGCCCGCTGGGCAAGCACAGCGCCGTGCTGCCCTCCCTGCTGGGCGTCTCTCCGTGGCACCCCACATCTCAGTCTGACTCCTGACCCCCCACAGGGACCCCAGGGCTCAGCCCAGGGACAAATTCACCTGGGCAGTTGCTGCCCTCGGCGTCAGCAGCCGCAGTCTTGCCGTCGGAGCAGCATCCCAGCGGGGTGTTGTAACACGTGGCCCTCTCGACGGCCGGGGTGGACGTCACCTGGCCTTCCTCCACCTCCTCCTCTTCCCCTGCAGGGGCACCAAGAGGAGCGTTCACCAGCAGCAGTAAGACCTCCCCTCTGCGCCAGAGAACGGGGCTGGGCCACAGCTCCCCTTCGTGGCGACACAACCCAGGGTTTGGTCGAACCCCCCGCAGCCCCCGGCGCGCGCACTCACCGGCAGAGCCGGCCCCGCTGGATTCCTGGTCCCCGCTGGCGCCCATCTCCTGGTCCCCACTGCCCTCAGCGCTGCCTGACTCCCCGTAGGCGGGCTGGGGGGTGGCCAGTACCACGGGGGCAGTGGGGAGAGGCCGCACGGTGGTCTTGTACCCGCCGTGGGTCGCCCAGGGCGTCGTGGCCGGCCTGGCCGTCGTGACGCGCCTCGTCGTGGGGTGAGCCTGTTCCGTGGGCTTGGCTTCCAGCAGCGGGGAGCTGGTGGCCACCTCGGTGGGCTGCGGAGCCTGGGTGGTGAGGGGCAGGGGCGGGGGGAGGACGAGCCTGTCCAAGGGCAGCGTGGGCAGCGGCGTGGGAGGCGACGGGTGGCTCGTGTGGGTGATGGACTCTGGAAGGAGCGGCAAACAGAGCGGGTGAGGAAGGGGGGAAAGGCTGGCACTGGCACTGGGAAGCAGGGCTGCAAACCCAGTGCACACCTCAGGCCCCCAGAGCAGCGGGCACTCACCGTGGCACTGCCCCAAGTGCTTCACCGTGATGACCTGGCCCTGCCTGCAGGCGATGGTCTTCAGCTGGCACTGGTCCCCGTAGGTGACGCCGTCAGAGCCACACACCTGGGGGGCAGAGGGGACACGTGAGCTGTGCTTCTGTCCTCCTCCAAGCAAAAGAAACTCATCTCTAAATGCTGGGAGGACTCTGAGGCAGAGGGGGCACGTGAGCTGCAGCCTTGTCCTCCTCCAAGCAGAATGAACCAGGCTCTGAAGGCTGGGAGAATTCTGCAGGAGTGCAGAGGTGATGGTCTGCACAGAGGTGGGCTGTGGGAGGCTAGAAGCAGAGCAAGTAATCAGGTGGGGGACAGAGCATCCAGCTCTGCTGGGAGACATCTACAACTTACACTTCACCCTTCCCTACGCACCACGGCAGTGACCAAACCTGCTCTCCTGCTTCTTGTGGGGGGGGAAGAGACACGAGACCCCCACACTGCAAATGAACCACCACCAGTCCCTGAGCCCCCCCCAGGCTGCCTGTCCCCCAAACCTTGGTCATGTTGGCCTCTGAGCACAGCGGGGACGGGCACTCGCAGTGGGCAAAGCCGTTGACCTCCACGCACGAGGCCCCAAACTCGCAGCTCATCTCCTCGCAGGACTTTGGGGCTGAGGGGTCTGGTGGGGAAGGAAGAGGAGGTGATCAGAGCACACACCAACCACACAGAAAGCAAAACTCCCTCCCCTCCCGCTCTCAGCTCTCCCAGGGACCCGTTTCTGGGTGCCCCAGGCAGTGCCTCACCTTTCTCGCAGCCAGTCATGCCCAGTTTGCTGCCGTTGGGGCACTGGTTGCACTTCATGCCAGTGATGCCAGTCTTGCAGGAGCACAGCCCCGTCATCTGCTCGCAGTCATCCCGCACTGAGCCCACGGGGTCGCAGTTACAGGCTGGGAGAGAAGGGCAAAACCACACTGTTGTGCTGGGGGATTGGTGGGGCCAGCTGCAGACTCACCCAGCTCCCTCTGGCATGGAGCAGGTCACCAACAGCTGCTGGAGGTGACTTACAGTGGGACAAACAGCCACTGGATGATTTCCAGGGGGATCAGCAGTCACTGGAGGCGACTTGCAACAGGACAAAGAGCCACTGGATGACTTAGAATGGGACCAACAGCCATTGGGGCTGATGTACAATGGGACCAACAACCAGTGGAGGACTTGCAATAGGACAAACAGCTGCTGGGGGTGACTTGCAATGGGACCAACAGTCACTGGAGGTGATTTATAATGGGACAAACAGCCAGTGGAGGGCTTGCAACAGGACAAACACCAGCTGGATGACTTGCAGTGGGACCAACAGTCACTGGAGGTGCCTCACAAGGGGTCCAGCGTTGGGGCTCGTGGTTTTAACATCAACATCCTGACACCCCCCGCCCCGAGCAGGCCATGGGGCTGTGCCCACGGGAGCAGCAGGATGAGGGGTGCTGACACCTCATCCCTGCCCTAGGTGCTGTCCCATCCCTGCCCCACTCACGGGTGCAGCCGCTCTTGCTGTCGGTGACGATGCCGCGGAAGTTCCAGAAGCCCGGCTCGCAGCGGTCGCACTTGAGCCCCCCCACGCCCGGCTTGCAGGAGCACTGCCCCGTCCCCGGGTCACAGGAACCCCCGTAGGAGCCGTAGGGGTTGCACTGGCACGTGCCTGTGGGCAGAGAGAGCCTCAGAGAGGGGCTGAGCCGGGGAGGAGGGGACAGAAACTCCAGCCAGGGTGGGCTTGTGCTGGGCAGGGGGAGGTTCCACCAGCTGCTCCCAACACTCCTCCTGTGGCCCCTACTCCGAGGGGGAACTGAACCTCCAAGGGATCGACCTGCTGTCGTCAAGAGCTCCTCTCTCATTCACCATCAAAGGGGAAGGAAGCTATTAGAAGTTTATTATTAATTCATTAATTAGGAACTTGATGGAGGGGAGCGATCCAAAGATAGACAGAGAGACGCTTCTCCTTGCCCACAGGGAGCAGGGGAAAAGAGACCTGGGGAGAAAGGGGGACCTGGGGAGCAGCAAGGAGGGTGCCATGAGCACATACATGGACAAACCTGCCCCAGGGGCTTCAAGATGCTGGTTAAGTGCTAATTACCCCCTGTGAATGATTACTGCCAGCACAGGGACACAGAGGATCATCACTACCAGAGCGGCGCTAAAAGCAAAATGCTCGTATCCTCTGCAGCATCACCCTGACTGTGTCCTCTGCCCAGGACCCACCTCAGCCTGCAGCACCTCCCCTACCCCTGCCAGGACATCTCTGGACATCCAGTGCTGCTGCTTTTTAAATTATCCAGCACATTACACAGGACTCCCCCCTCATCAGACAGGCATTAGCCCAGCACAGGCACAGCACGAGCCATGTCTCCACGGGGTGATGTGCTCCCTGCCAGGCAGCCACAGCCTCAGCTGTTAAAGGGTTTGCTAATGCCTTTCAAAATGCTCCTTTCTGGCCCTGATAATTATTTAATAAATATTAATGAAATGCTGGGCAGCTCAGCTTCCTGCATGGTGCAGTCACCCACTTGTCACCCGTCCTGGGGTGGCCTGTGGAAGGTCCCCAGGTGAACCTCCAGGCTCTGTTCCACCTCATCCTGCAGCTCAAAGACGCGTGAAATATTCCTGTCACTCAGGCTGGGGAACAGCCCTGAGAGTCCAGCAGTGGGCTGAAGGCACCAAATGGCACAGTCTTGGCCCCGGGGGCACTTTTGGGGGCATCCAGCAGGAACTCAGCACCAGGCAAGTTCTAAGCTACCATCCTGCCTTCCTGCATTTCAAAGGGATTGAGGCCTGGAGGTTGTCTCAGGGCTTTTGGAAGGACAGGAGCATCCGTGGTAGATGCAGAAGGTGAAGCACACGTGCTGGGAGGTTGTAGCAAGGTGGGGGTCAGGCCCTCCTCCCAGGTAACAAGTGACAGGACCTCTGAAGGCGTTTAAAAAACATGTGGATGTGGCCCCTGGGGTTAAGGGTTGGACTCCCAAGCTTTTAGAAGGCTTTTCCAACACATTATCCACTCACTTGGACATCCTGCTGCTCCCACTCCGAGCGCCAGGGTCATGTTGTCTGGGCAGCAGCCGTAGATGGTCTGGCTGCAGTGCACGACCAGGAGGGGTGGTGGGGTTGTGGCAAGGGCTGCAGAGGAAGGCAGAGGGGTACAGGTTATTTCTGGCAAGGCAGGATGCTCCTGGGATGGAGCAGCAGGCAGCAATTCCTGCGAAACCACGTGGAGATTCTGGGAACAGGCCATGACCCTCGGCCGGGGAGAGCACAGGGCACGGGAACAGGAATGGTGCAGTGGGATCAGCAAACCAACACAGGGACACACAGGGAGCACTTCCTTGCTGATCCACAGGGAAAGGGCACCAGGCTGGGCACCCCCAGCTTTGGTGGGGGTGGCAGGGAGGGACTCACCACGGCAGGCTCCTTGGCCAGTGACGTAGAGATCCTGGCGCTTCTCGCACCGCGTCTTCTTCAGCTCGCACTCGTTGGCGTAGGTGACACCATCAGAGCCACACACCTGACAGGACAGCGAGGGGCAGTCGCTCAGGGCAGGTTCCCTATCACGTGGAATGCCCTCTCCTGGCCCAGGAAACGTGCCCAAGGGGGAGAAGAGGGAGGGGAGGGTGCAGGGGGGCTCACCGGGCTGCGGGGCACGGCCAGGCAGGTGAAGTCACACACGCAGCGATCGTCCTCGGCGTCCTCGTCCCACCAGCCCCCGAACTGCCGGCACCGGTCCTGCTCACACTCGCTGCCATCCCCAGAGCCAGAGCCCCCCGAGCCACATTCTGCAAGGAAGGAGCAGCCTGGTGACTCGGGGCTCAGCCCCAGCACGGGGGAGCAGATTTACGCCCATCTGAGCAGATTTACCCTCCTCAGCACAAGCAGCCCCCAAAATCCTGGGCCCACATATATACCTGGATGCTTATGCCAGGCTGTCAGGGAAGATCCCTCCCTCTTGGGCAAAGCAGATTCTCCCACCATTGACTGTGCTGAGCCAACACAATGAAAACTGCAGACCTGCTTTTGCAGGTACCTGAGGTTTTCCTCCCCCAGCATCCCTGCAGGAGCCAAGCCAAGGCTCCTGTGGCTCCCTGCAGCTCAGCCAGCTGACAGCCACGCACAGGAGGGAGGGCTGCCACTGGCCTTAGTGACAATTTAACTCCAGGCTTTGATCCCACTCCTTTCCCTGCTCTCCCAAACGCACTGTGCACAGAGAGATCGCTGCTACCGATACCGAGACCAGAGCAGAGCGAGGGATGGGGTTTGGGTTTAGAAGTTTGGTTAGGGAGATATTTTAAATACATAAAGCCTGTCCCCAGCCTGGCTGCCTCTCTGTAAGATGCTCAGAGCTCCAGCAGCAAGAGAGATGTTGCTGATTTCAAAGGCTTCTTAAAGGGGAAGGGCGGGGGGGAGAAGGGGGAAGGGAAACCCGGCCCTTTTTATTGAGTGATCAAAGGCTGGGATTTGGCATTACACAGAGAATTATTTAAGCTCTTCTCCCAGAGGGACATCAACCTGAAATTCCCCAAGGAGGGCTGTGATCAAACACCATGTTATGTCTTCCTCTCTCCTTAAGCTCTGCCATACACCGAAGTCCTTTCCAGCTCGACTACACGTGCAACGAGCCAGGGAATCTCAGCTCACCAGAGCAGGGAGGTTTAGGTGCCTCTCCTGCATGAATTCAGCCAGCAATAACCCACAGCCTTCCCCAAAGTGGGAAAACAGCAGGTTCTCAGTTTTTAGCCTGGCCAAGCAAGGTACAGGCAAACCTCACAGCCTTCCCTGGCACTCAGTCAACAGAACCACGGAATGGTTTGGGTCGGAACGGACCTTAAGGATCACCTTGTTCCAAGCCCCCTGCCACGGGATGTCACCCACTGGACCAGGTCACAGGCCAGGCCCTCGAGCAGCCCCGGAACAGAGGGAAGCAAAGCAGCAGCCACGCTCCCTGCCCCAGGAATGGCTCTGTTTCCCTGGACGAGACCCACTGAAGTGTGAAATCAAAGCAGTGACAACTCCTTGCCCACCCGACTGGGCACCGTCACCTCCCACACTGCTGAGTACAGGGGAAAGGGGGGTGGCAGGCGGGGTGCTGGGTGACCAGGAGGCGTTGCTGGCACACAGGAACCTGCTGTGTTGGGGATTTTTGAGGTCTCACAGGGCACTGTGCCCGAGCTCCACACACAGCGGGGCACGGCGGAGCCGCTGCGCGAACCCTCCGTCCCTCCTCCCCCTCTCCCCGGCGTGTGCCACCTCCACACCCCTCACACCTACCATCCTCACAGGGCCCCGTCCTGGCCACCTCGATGGTCTTCTTCTGCTGGCAGGAGGCCACGTGCAGCTCGCACTGGTTGTCGTAGGTGAGCCCGTCGGTGCCGCACACTGGGGCGGGGGGCTGGCGCTCGCAGCGCGGGCACACGCACTGCCCACCCACGCACCTGCTGCCAAAGGAGCACACCGTGCTGCCACACGACTCTGGGGACACAGGGGGGAACACAGGCAGGCGTCACAGGGGCTCTCGTGGCCGGCTGAGCAGCGTCACACAGCTGGGGACCGCTAACGTTGTTGCTTTGTTCAATCGGCACAAAGGCTCTGCGACGGCCAGGTGCCCACCCTGAGCATTCCTGACCCCCACGGGTCTTTCTGACACCACTAAGAAGTGCCATTTACTCTCCTGGTGTGTTCTGACTTCAGCCCACGGAGCGCTGAGAGTCATCTGCCACACTCAGGCATTCCCTCCCGAATTCAGGGAGGATCTCCAGGCACCAGCTCATCCCTGGAACACCAGACCCAGCTGGACAGGTTTTATGAGGCTCAAATCATTGCTTTTACCCAAACAGCTTTTGCCTTAATGAAGAACCCAGCCAGGGCTTTTAATTCATTAAGAAATTAGCCCTGACATTTCCCTGGGCTGGGGAGTGGGGAGGAAACACAGCAACAAAGAAGAATTAACCCCAGGGGATGGGGGGGGATGGAAAGCTGTGTGTGTGATCAAACAGACCCTCGGTGCTTTCAGTTCTGGTGGTGGCCATTAACACCGTTTTTAGCCCCATTTCTTTCCTTAGCCTGGTGGACACTAATCCAATTTCTCTACTTGTCTCACCAAGTAACACAGGGGGAGGTCAGATAGATACCCCACCGACCACGGGGAAACTAAACCATCTGCGAGACAAAACTCCTCCTAAGCCAAAGGGTGACGAGCCTTGGGGTGGGAGCCAGAGGAGGGACGGGGAAGGGGGGACCTTGGCAGACTCACTGCAGTCTCCCTGGGCAGCCACCAGGATGTTGGTCTGCTGGGTGCAGGCGCGGACGTGCAGCTCGCACTCGCTGCCGTAGGTGCGGCCGTCGGTGCCGCACACGGGCTGGGACGAGGGCACGCACTCCGTGGGGCACACGCAGCGCCCCGTCTCCGCCTCGCAGATGGCCCCGAACTGGCACTTCCCGCAGCGCTCTGTGCGGGGCAAGGACAAAGCCAGGAGGTTAAAACGGCACCGTGAGGGCGGGTGGTGTTGGCTGATCGGAGCTGTGGGGTCGTGCGGGTCGGAAGGGAGCTTAAAGCCCATCTTGTTCTTTCCACTAGCCCAGGGTTGCTCCAAGCCCCGTCCAACCTGGCCTTGGACGCTCGCAGGGATGGGGCAGCCACAGCTTCTCTGGGCAACCCGTGCCAGGGCCTCCCCACCCTCACAGCGGAGAATTCCTTCCCAATCTCCCACCCAAACCTACTAATGCAGATCTAAACCCGCCCAGTGCAGAAATAAAACCTCCCTTCTCCCACCTCCCTCCCCCACCCCGGTGGAGCCCCTGCAGATTCAGCAGCTTTGTGGGACCAGCAGCCTCAGGGCACAGTGGAAGGGAAAACGAGCGAGGGGAGGGATGTGGGAGGAGGGAAAAGGTTGGGAGGCAGAAAGGCAATAACTACTTGTAAAAGCCATCAGGGCCAGGAGTAACGCACTGAAATGTCACCATGGCTGGGTGCTGAGAGGTGGGAGAGTGGGGGGCTGAGAGCAATTATGGGGAGCAATAAATAAATCATCCCCGGGGAGAAGGAGCAGAGCCCACCCTAGACAGCCAGGCTCCAGCGGGAAAGAGCCAGATACCACCTTCCCCTGGTTTCTCAGGGCACCAGCAGCGCTGGATGCAGGTGTAACATCACTTGTCACAGTGCCACCTCCCCGGTGGGACCCCCAGGACACAGGCTGGGGGCAGAGAAGATGTTTATCTTCCCTACAACTCCCTCTTCAAGCAGCATTCACTCCTCGCAGGAGGGCCCAGACTCCAGCCAGCACATCTCCTGACTCCTGGGCATTTACTAATTCACGGCTTCATTTTCTCCTTCAGACAAACACCCCTCTTTTCTCCCCTCCCTGCCAGTCATTTCAGGGGGAATTTGGCTCCAAGGTGGTTTTTCCCTTCTTTTTCTTTCCCGCAGCAGCTGCTGCCTTCGCATGGGGGAGGGAAGATGCACCAACCCCCTGCTCGGTTCGTGCTGTTGGCCAGGAGGTTTCTATCTACGGCACAAATCCTGCGGCCACGCACGGGCTCTGCAGGTCAGGGGAGAGGATGCTCAAGGCAGCCAGCTCCTGGGACACAAAACTGTTTTTATAGCACTGCAACGAGCCCAGCCCTACCTGAACAGATTCTGTCCCAGGAGAACAGAGTTAGCCCGGGCTGTGCCCATCTGTAAACACTCCCTGACTGACAAAGCTGGCACGGAGAGTGATCCTGCAGATGGAAGTGCCTGGAACAGGCTCCCCAGGGCAGTGGGCACGGCCCTGAGGCTGCCAGAGCTCCAGGAGGGTTTGGACAACACTCTGAGGGACAGGGTGGGATTGTTGGGGTGCCCTGGGCAGGGCCAGGGATTGGATTCTGATCCTTGTGGCTCCCTTCCAAATGGGGATATTCCATGAGTCTGTGCTGGGTAAGGGTCTGAGCTGTATATACAGGGTGGGTTCTTATTAGAGAAGAGGATGAACCCTCTTGACTTCATCCCATGCCTCCAACCCAGCCACCTTTTTAGCAGGGCACCCAGGGTTAGGTCTGCTGGGTAAGGGGACACTGCAGGGCTGGGGTGCACAGGGGGGCAAACCCACAACTGCCTCATCCCAAGCTTTCCCCGCTGCCCCACAGCCCTTGGGGAGGAAGGCAGCGTTCAGGCTGGACACTGGACGATTCTCTCCCACCACCTTCCTACTGAACCTGGAAAAACACGACCCCAAACCCCTCTCTCCCCGTGGGCAGGGCCACGTCTGTGCTGAAGTCACTGCCTACTCCCAGCAAGGAAAGGAGGAGGAAGAAGAGGAAGAGGAGGAGAGGGAAGCCCCCTGAGCTCGTCTCTTACCACAGGGCCCCTTGTGCTTCACCCTGATGTCCCTCTTGAGGACACAGGCCATGGAGTCCAGCTCGCAGGGGTTGCCGTAGGTGCGGTTGTCGGTGCCGCACACGGGGTCGTAGCGGCCCTGGCACACCTGCTGGCACTCACACACAGGCTCCTGGTTCTTCACCACACAGGTGGCCCCAAAGGTGCACTCCACGCTCAGGCAGGGGCTGGGCGTGCCCAGGTCTGCAGAGGGGACACGGAAAGGGGGCAGTGGGCTCAGTCAGCTGAGCTCCCCTGTCTCCTCCTCCAGCTCCCCCCATCCCGGGCACTGAGCACAGCAAGGCATGCCAGCAGCCCCAGCCACAGCACCCCACCTGCCCCCACCCTCCCAGAGCCACAGAGCTCCTGGCCCTGGCCCCAGCCCAGCCCCTGCCCCCTCCATGCCACCCCGACATGCCCGGCTCAGCGTCATCCCCATGCTCGGCACAGGTTAGGGATGGGAAGCAGGCACAAGGTCTTCTCCCTGCATGCCATGAGCGGGGCTCCTGCCCCGTCTCCTCCATCCCATCACCATCCCAGGGACACTCTGCCCCTCAGCAGTGGGATCAGCAGAACCTCCAGTGGCCAAAAAGCTCACGCAGGGATGGCTCCCGTCACCGAAATCCAGGTCCTCGGGGTGCCTGTCCCCTCAACGGCTCAGCCTAAGCCCAGGGAGACCTGGCTGGAGGGGACACCTGCATTTGGCTCCACCACACCCACCCATACCCTCCTGTTCCCTCCTGAGCCCAGGGAGCTGCCCTGGGGCAGGATGAGGAATGTCCTCTCTCCAGCCCAGTCCTCCAGGGCTCCGGTGGCTCCAGCAGAGCCCTGGGGCTCCCTGGGGATGGGCAAAGCCCCCTGGCACTGCTGCAGGCTGGGAAGCAGCATCCCCTCTGCCCAGCCACAGCCAAGCAGGTGGCACCTTCCCCGTGGGGATGCTCAGGGGTGGGAAGGTGAGCAGCCAGCACTGAGAGCAAAGAGCAAAGGCCGTGTCCAAATCCTCGGTACAGCTCTGGAAATGCTGGCAGGGAAAGCCCTGTGGTCCCTCCCAGTTCCTGGCCAGCTTGCTGCAACCAGGAGTGCCCCTCCAGGAATCCTCCCCACCATCCAGGAGCCAAGCCAGGCAGCTAAAAGGCAGGGGGACAGACCCAGCATGGCCCAGCGACCCTTCTCGTGCCTCCAGACAAAAGCCCCAAGGACCTGGGGCAAGGAAAGGACACGGATTTGATCCGTGCTTAACACTGACAAGGACACAGGACAAAACACAGGTGGGGAACACACAATGCAGCCAGGAGGAGATGGAGGCAACAGGCACAGACACAGCACAGCCCCACCAACACCCAGCAGCGAGGCAGGCACAGAGCGGAGCGTGGTGGGAAAGGTCCCTCCGGAGCCTCTGGAGTGGCACTGGGCACCTCCCCTGCCAGGACTACGGCAGGGGCACGGTCTGCAGAGCAAGAGCAAGGCTTGAGCCCTCAGGAGTCTGGCTGCATGCTGTCAGCCAGGGAGGAACGGCCCAGCACGGGCACAGGCACGCCCGGATCGGGGATCTGGCTCTTTGGGAAGCACCTACCGAGCCAAAACTTAGAGCTGAGGGTCTGCAGAGGAACAGGGGAGAGGGGGGGCAGTTCAGGCACAAGGCAACTACTCCAACCCAGCCTTTTCAGCTGCGTGCTCAACTTCCCTGCAGCTGAGGAGTGTGTGAGCAGTTCCCAAGGAGCGGGAGCAGCAGAGCTCAGCCCTGTGGCGCTGCTCACGTCAGCCTCTGCTTCCCTTTTTGAAACCCGTAATCGTGTCCCCCCAAGCACAGAGACACAAGTCTGCACAGAGAAAGTGCCTCTGATGGGCACAGTTATGCGAGGCATGAAGCAAAAATATTCCCTCACTTGAAATCCAGACTCAGGCTCCTGCCTTGGGAAGCAAAGGAGCAGCGAGCGAGAGCACGGGGAGGTGCCAGCCCCAATGGAGAACGGTGCCCTGGCACTCCCTGCCCTTCTTAAGCAGGGAAAACCTGCAGAGATGCAGCACATGAAGTTCCTTCACAGCCCAAATCCCAGGCTGTGAAATCTCACACGCAGCCCTGGGCACCTCCAGACGTCACTGGGTGTTTTGGCACCAGGTTTGCTGTGGGTGGATGCAAGGAGGACCAACTGAGCTGTGCTATAATCAACACCTGCTTCGATTCCTGGCCCTTCTCCATCTTGCAGACAGAGAAACCCAGGCACAGAGAAAGCAAAACGCTCTTTCTGCACCTTGGGTGACTCCAGAGCATGGTCCCTCACCTGCTGCCCTGCTTGGAATTGTTCAAGACCAGGTTGGATGGGGCTTGGAGCAACCTGGGATAGTGGAAGGTGCCCCTGCCCACGGCAGGGAGTGGGACTGGAGGATATTTAAGATCCCTTCCAACCCAAACCATTCCATGCTTCTGTGCAGAAACCTAACCAAGCCCCTGGGCGCACTGAGCTCTCCTGCAGCCCCAGCTGAGGGTGTCCCTGGAGAAGAGGCTCTGTAACCCATCACACCCCATCAACCCCTGCCTGTGACACCCAGCAGGTCCCAGCACCAGCTCCACAGGGAAATACTCCCAGGGAAGAACCACTTCTGAGCACAGAGAGCTCCTCAGTGCTTCCAAACAGGCACGTGGTACTTTTGCTGGACACCAGAGAGGAAAGCTGTGGTCCCTGCAGAGCCCCTGCCCAGGGGATTGGCACAGGCAAGCAGGACACACACTATGGACAGCAAAGGGACAAGCACCACAGTCCCAGGCAGGCAGAAACTCCGGGAAGGAAGGAGGAGGTGGGGAAGAAAGGGGGGTTAGTTGGGGGCAAAAGGAGAGGTAAGATCAACCAGGAGCAGTCCAGAGTGATGCACCAGCCCAAGAGGGGCTTGCTAAGGAGTGGGGGGCTCACAGCACCCACCTCTGCTCCCACTCTCATGTGCCTCGAAGGGTCAAGCATCGGACAAGACCCCACTGCACTGCAAGGCATTTCCATTCCAGCAGCAAGAGTTTGGGGCGAGGGATGGGAGCAAAAGCAGGGCAACCTCTCCATCCCAGGGGCTCTCAAGCAAAACTAGAGAGGTGGGGAGCAGTGAGAAGAGGCCAGGACTGTCACTGGCCACGGAGAAGGGGGGAGAGCCGACCTCCCAGCGGAGATGTCCGGGTAGGGAGCAGAGGGTGATGCGAGGACACAACTCCTTCCTCCACACAGGCAACACTGTAAAACACAAGACACAGACGAAAAAGGAAAGAGAGAGAAAGAAGGAGGGAGAAAGAGGGGAGGGGGAGAGCAGAGAGAGGGAGGGAGGGGAAAAAAAAAGATGCAACTACAGACACCTTCCTTCCCTCCACCTCCTGTCCACATCGGCCTCACCCCATCCCTCCTTTCTCACCTGCACCATCACGGTGCCAGAACAGAGAAGGATTAAAACCAAGGCTTGGACTGTTTTGTTTGGCTTTGCCTCCTTTGCCTGGCTGCTGGAAGAGACAGCAGAGAGCTCAGAGTCTATTAGGCAGGTATGTGTGGGAGATCAAAACACTGCCCATCCTAACAGGCTCTTTCATTCCCTCCCTTTCCCAGCTCCTGCATTCTCACAGCACCAAGGCATGGATGAACTCAGCAGCACTGAGCTCACAGAAGATGCTTTCCTAAGCTGATGGGGAGTGAAAAAGCTGCCCACACCTCATGGGGGCTGGCTACAGGACTGCCTGGAGCTGTCGCACGGACTTTGGAATCCCAGGCTTTGGCAGACAGAGCCCCAGTTTTGATTTATTATTCCCCTCAGGTTATCAGCTTTTTTTTTGCTGCCATCCCACAAGGATGTGGCTCCTGAAAGCAGATGGGCACATCTGCTGTCCTCACCTGGAGGAAGAGAAGTTGGTGGGAAGCTAAAATAGAGCGAGAAGGAGGGAGGAATGGCAGGTGCATCAGGGCTGTGTCCTGCTGTCTGCTGGCCTCCCTCCATGGAACATGGTGGGAATGATGCATGGCTGACAGCAGGGTCACAAGCAGCACCAGTTCCCTGCTCATCCTAGAAATTTGGGAAGCCTCAGCCTCTAAAGGAGGCACGGGGAAGGGTTTGTAGAGAGCCCAGGGCACCAGGGCTGCAAACAACCACCCCCTCTGGCCCTGCTGCTCCAGGATCCCAGCCCTCCCCGCAGGGAAAATTCGGGGAACTGACTCCCAACCATTCACCCACCAGAAACGCAGGGAAACAGGCAATCCAAAATAACAGCTGTGATTGTATTGAGCGTGATTTTGGGAGCCTGACAAACAGTTTTCAAGCAGCTGGGTCTGGCAGAATTAAAAACCTACAGCAGGAGCGCAAAGCCAACAAAACAGATCCACAACATGGGGCCTAATTCCCAAGTACTTTAGGAGGTTTAATACAGCTGATACCTTATAAAAACATCAGCTTAAAATAACGGGACACGGTTCCAGAGCTAGTAAAAACCAAATGGAGCTGAAATGAACAGTCCTTCCAGCTCGTACAAATCAATCCAGTAACTGAGCTTTAACATCTTTCGTTTTCCGTGTGACAAATTTAAAACTGGACATTCCCAACATCCTAGGGACCCAAAGCCCCATCCTATCCCATCCTCCTGAAAAAAAAGATCCATTGGAAAGGTCAAAAGCTTCTCCTAGAGACAAGACGAAGACATGGTGAGATCTCCAGAGAGCAGGCACGCTGGGAAGAGTTCCTGATGGAGAGTACCTGGAGCTGAGAGAAGCAGGCAGGCATGGAAGGGGGAGAGCATGGAAGGAGCTTGGAGACTGGCACTACCCTGGGAGGAGGAATGAATGGCATGGGCTGCAGGGAGCCGTGCGGTGGTGGATGAAACCAGCTGGACATCACGAACAACCAAAAGATTCTCCCCTGTGTTAACCGAGCACATCAGACAGAGACAAGACCACGGTGGGAACACACATGCAACACGACACAAGGACTGCTGGAAGGGACAAAGAACAGGGATACTGAGGGCTTCTTGGGACACAGGACCGAGGAGGACCCTGTGGCTTGCTCACCACCCACACTTACCTGCAGCTCTCCAGCACCGCTCCCCGCACACCAGGACGGCCAGGGGGGGATGCCGGGAGCGTAGGGGGGGGACCACTATTCCTGAGGGCAACCAGTGCTTACCACAGGGTCCGCTGTGCTTGACAGGGATGGCGGCCTTCTGGTGGCACTCTGCCTTCTGGCGCTCGCAGTCGTTGCCGTAGGTGCGGCTGTCGCGGGCGCAGACGGGCCGGAAGGCGCCGTCGCAGGCGATGCGGTCGCAGGAGCAGCGCGCGGAGCCGCGGCGGTTCAGGCACACCCCGTTGAACTTGCACTCGTCCCTGCACTTGTCTTGGGGTGGGGAGGGGGGAGGAAACAGCACAGCTCACACCCACACCCGCAGAGACACGGGGAGACGGGGGAAGGGGGGACACATTCGCGAGGGAGGTCGGGGACGCTAGTGCTCCGCGGGGCACAGGGAGGGGGTGGAGAGGTACTTACCCTGCTGCTGGCACTGCCCTGAACGCACCTTCTGGATCTCCAGGCCCCGGATGGCCCCCGAGCGCCCCATCACGCACTCGTTGTCGTAGGTGACGCCGTCGTCCCCGCACACGGGCTCCCTCCTGGGCGGGCAGCTCTCGGGGCGCGGCAGCAGCTCCGCCCGCCGCGTGCGGGGGTTCACCCGGCAGACGCGGTTCATGTCGTTGAGGACGCCTTTGCAGGGGTCTGGGCGCGGAGCAGGGAGTCAGGCACCGCCATTCCCCCCGCCCAGGGAGGTGCTTCCCAGGCCCTGCTCCTTCCCAGGGTGGCCCCAAGAGCTCCGGGCATTCCGCCCGTGGCGCTCAGTCTGCTCCTTCGCGCTGGGCTCTGCGCACGCGGGACTCGGTTTTTACACGCCATGGGCACGTGCCCTTTCCAAAGGGAGCACTGATGGGATGGGATGGGATGAGCCCTGCCTTTCTGCCCAGCCCGAGCTGCCTTCGCTCCCTCCTCTCTGTTCCTCTCCTGACCCAGGTGAATCTCCGGAGTCCAAAGGTGTTTGCTGGGCATCGCGGGGTGCTTGGTACTCCCACCCCGCTCCTTCCACGCTCCCTCCCCTCCCTGCCATCCCAAAGTGCTGCAAGAGCCCTGAAAGCAGCCAGGGCCACATGCTGCCAAGCCCCTAGAGCTCTAATCTTAAGTTTAGGCTCTAATCTAGGTTTATCTGGATCCCCCTGTCTGATGAGCTGAGCTCACTTCAGCACACCAAAGACACGGGCAAAACAGGTGCTGCCTGCCCTGCTAATCCCTGCTGTAACCCTGGGATTTTCCCCCCTCCTTGCCAAGCAGGCACCTGGAGAGTGCTGATTCACTGTCTGCAATTGCAGGAGCACCATGGGGTGTTCCCACCCTTTAATCCCAGTCTGAAATCCAGGCTGACAAGGGGAGGAAACAGTAGAACAAAGAGGGACCTCCCTTTTGGCTGCCCCCACATCCTCGTGGAGAAGGCTGGCCCAGGACAGGGCCACAGCTGAATTCTTTTGCTTTGCCCATTTCAGCGTGGAAATTAAGTGGTTTGCCTGTCCCCACTCTGCCCTACCTCCAGCACATCCTCAAGCCTTACAGCGACACCCAACAGAGTCCAAATAGCACTGTTTTCCCCCCAGATTTTCAGATTTTACAGCCCAGCTGCTCAACCCAGGCTGCCTGAGCTTCTGCTCGTGCCCAGCTAAGATCACGAGGTCCTCAAAAGAGGCCCAAAGCTTCTTTTCTGCCCCAGAAACCTGGAGCACCCAGCGTGACACCACCTCCTTCACACCTCCCACTCGCACCCGTCTTGCCCCACTTGGAGCAGTGAAAGCACAATTCAAGCTCTTCCAGGTTTCCAGCCTGAACCCAACTCAACTCCCACACTCCTCTCCCCTGGGGACAAACACTGGTCTGGCACGTGCCTTGGCTGATCTCATGGTTTTCCTTAATGAATACAGCTGCTTTTAATTAGCAGTGTCCACAGCCACCACGAGCCGAAGAGGAATCCACGCTCGGAGCTCGGGACTGTTTGTGCTCCAGGATCTGTGCCTGGCAGGATGCTTAATTAGCAGGAGCTGCCTGGGATGCTGGTGAGCAGCAGGCTCCCTGCCAAAAGCACAGCCGGGGGACTGCGGTCAGGGGAACAGCAGGAGGGAAAGGAGGTGGCACAGATGTTGGAATTGCTCTCTAGGTCAGTGGGTCCCGAGCAGAAACAATTGCTGCGGGGGAAGCACTGGCTTGCTCTGAGTTTCGGAAGCTGTCACACACAGACTGATCTTTTTCTCCCTGAACCGACCCGTTTCTGCCCAGACCAACATTTTTTTCTGTCCAAACTGACCTTTTTCTGCCCAGACTGACCCTTCTGAGTGGGAGCGCAGCCACGTTTTCTTCCCCAGCGCCTCCCGTTTCCCACCGGCTTTACCCTCAATATTCCTAATGCGGGCAAAAACATTTTGGAAAGAAACCCTTCTCTCCCCAGCTATTTCAAGGCCCCAGGGAGGGGGCAGAGGACTCACCACAGAGGCCATCAAACTTCTTGAAGACGTTCTCCTGCTTGTCACAGGCGTGCTTGTTGAGGTCACACTCGCTGCGGTAGTCGCGGCCGTCGCTGCCGCACACGGGATTTTCGGGGATGCCGCTGCAGGAGGACGGGCACACGCACTTGGCCGACTGGCCATCGGTGGAGCGGACACAGGTGCTGCCAAAACTGCAGGTCACCTCTGCACAGGGGTCCTTGGAGCCTGTGGGAGAGAGGAGGGGGGGGGGCACGGCACAGGCGTGAGCAGGGCGGTGGCGCCGCGGGACAAATCACCCCGACGCGTCCCGGTATCACCCAGACAGCCCGACCCCTCCCAAGCACCCAAAAACACACCCAGCACCAACAGATATCCCCCCATCAGCTTCAGTCCAGTGCCATGTGCCTGCTCCTGAGCAGAGCTCACCCCCTCCATGAGTGGTGACACTTTGCTCACGGA